TACTCCTCGATCTCGCTTGATATCCATGCCAAGAATTTTCTTAGCTGCTCCCAAATCTTTCATTTCAAATTCACTATTTAACTGCAGTTTCAAAGTGTGAATTTCTGACAAATTCTTGGCAGCAATGAGCATGTCATCAACATAAAGCAGCAAATAAATGAAAGAACCATCATTTAACTTCCGGAAGTAAACACAACTATCATACATGCTCCTCAAATAACAATGACCCAACATAAAGGAATCAAACCTTTTATACCATTGTCTTGGAGACTGCTTCAATCCATATAAGGATTTCTTCAATAAGCAAACATGGTCTTCCTTACCTTCAATCTCAAAACCCTGGGGTTGCTTCATATAAATTTGTTCTTCAAGTTCGCCATGTAAGAAAGCTGTCTTAACATCAAGCTGCTCTAACTCCAAATTATACATGGCTACTAAAGCAAGCAAAACACGAATAGAGCTATGTTTAATAACAGGTGAGAATATATCATTAAAATCAACACCTTGTACCTGACTATAGCCCTTTGCAACTAATCGTGCTTTATACCTTGCATCTTCAACCCCTGGAATACCTTCCTTCTTCTTGAAGACCCATTTGCATCCAACAATTTTCTTAACTGACGGCGGCTTTACAAGAACCCAAGTTTCATTACGATGAAGAGATTCAATTTCTTCATTCATCGCAATCAACCACTTTGCAGAATCATCACAAGAAACTGCTTCTGAATAGGTGGAAGGCTCACCAACTGCATCAGTTTCTTCTGCAACAGACAAAGCATATGCAACTAAATTTGCATATCTTTGTGGTGGTCGAATGTCTCTCCTTGCTCTATCTCTGGCTATGGAATACTCTTCTTCTTCAGAACTATCTTCAACAGTAGATTCAGGTGTATCTACTGGCATTTGAATAGAAGATTTGGTCTGTGAAGGACCAGAACTGCCAATATCAAGCTCCACCTGCTTCTGTGTACTATCAGTAGTACAAGGACTAGAAGACTCCTTCTTGGAAGATAACATAGACAATTCATCAAAAGTAACATCTCTACTGATCACAAATTTTGGAGATTTGGGATCAGGACACCATAATCTGTATCCTTTCACCCCAGAAGCATACCCAAGAAAAATGCACTTTTTAGCCCTAGGCTCCAATTTTCCATCATTCACGTGCATGTATGCTGGACACCCAAAAACTTTTAAATTGGAGTAATCAGCAGGAGTACCTGACCAAACTTCCTCAGGAGTTTTGAAATCAAGAGATGCAGAAGGAGAACGGTTGACAATATAACAGGCCATATTGATCGCCTCTGCCCAAAAGTCGTTTGTCAACCCTGCATTGGAGATCATACATCTTGCTCTCTCCAAAAGCGTTCTGTTCATACGTTCAGCCACACCATTTTGTTGAGGCGTCATCCTGACGGTGTGATGCCGAACAATTCCTTCATTCTTGCAGAATTCATTAAATTCACCTCCACAAAATTCCATGCCATTATCTGTTCTCAACCGCTTAATGTGTTTTCCTGTTTGCTTCTCAATCAAAACTTTCCATTGCTTGAAAGTTAGGAAAACATCATTTTTATGCTTAAGAAAATATACCCAAACTTTCCTTGAATAATCATCAATGAAAGTCAACATGTACTTGGCACCTCCTTTAGAAGAAGCACGAGAAGGCCCCCAGAGGTCTGAATGAATGTAGTCCAAAGTTCCTTTTGTCCTGTGAACTGCCGGCAACTGGAAGCTAACTCTCTTCTGCTTTCCAAAAATGCAATGTTCACAGAGTCCCATCTTTCCAATACTTTGACTACCAAGAAGACCTCGTTTGCATAAAATAGATAAGCCCTTCTCGCTCATGTGCCCCAATCTCATGTGCCATAATTTGGTAAAATCAGAATCAGACAAAGTTGATGTAGAAACAGCAGCAGCACCTGTAACAGTAGATCCCTGCAAAATATATAAAGTACCAGATCTGTGTGCCTTCATAACAACAAGAGCTCCTCGAGTGATTTTGAGAACTCCGTCTCCACCTGAATACCTGCACCCGATAGACTCAAGAGTGCCCAAAGAGATGAGATTTTTCTTCAAATCTGGAACATGTCTAACATCTGTGAGCGTCCTCACAATACCATCGTACATTTTAATCCGGATTGTGCCTTTGCCAACAACTTTACAAACAGCGTTGTTGCCCATTAAGACAACTCCACCTTCAGTTGATTCATATGTTGAAAACCAGTCCCTATTGGGACACATATGATATGAACAACCCGAATCTAAAATCCACTCATTGTTAGATCTAAAAATATTTTCCGTTGCACAGAAAATGGTTCCATCATTCTCATCAGCTGCTATACTAGCCTCAGCGGATTCAGTATTTTTCTCAACAAATTTCCCTTTTTGCTTTTCTTTATTTTTCAATTTAAAGCAATCAGAGATAACATGGCCCTTCTTTTTACAATAATTGCACACCACATTTTTATATCTGGACTTGGATCTACTTCTATTTTCTGTGTTTCTCTTTTCAGATCTACCCCGAACAAACAAGCCATCGGCTTGACTCCCACTAGTTTTCCCAGTAATATCCCTATCTATCTGCTCTTTAGATTTTAATGCAGATTTAATTTCCCGATACGAAATTGTTTCCTTTCCATAAATCATAGTATCGCGGAAATGCTTAAAAGACTGGGGAAGGGAACACAAAAGTAATAGGGCTTGATCTTCATCATCAATTTTCGAATCTATATTCCCCAAATCCATAATAATGGAATCAAATTTATCAAGATGGGAGAGTATAGATGTACCTTCAGACATCCGAAGCATGTACAAACTCTGCTTCAAATATAGGCGATTCTCGACTGTCTTCTTCATATACAAGGCTTTCAATTTATCCCACATAGCCTTGGCCGAAGTCTCCGTTGCTACCTCACGCAATATCTCATCGGAGAGATTTAAGATTATACTGGATCTGGCCTTTTTATCCATATCGGCGAAATCCGCATCCTTTACATCTTCTGGTTTGTTCTTGATTCCGTGAATCGCTAGATCAACTCCGTCTTGAACAAGAATGGCCTCCATCTTGAGCTGCCACATTCCGAAGTTGACATTCCTGTCGAATTTCTCGACAACCGTCTTTGTTTTCGTCATTGTTGCCACAAAATCAGTAACTTAAAATTTGTCTCAAAAAACTGGCCAAACAAATATGCAAGTCTCTTGAGCGGGCCCCACAGGGTGAGCGGACCCCACGAGATAAGCGGGCCCCACGGGGATGAACGGACCCCACAAGGTGAGCGGGCCCCACAGATAAACGGACCCCACAGGATGAGTGGGCCCCACATGATGGACGGACCCCACCAGATGAACCTGTCTTGCAAAATATAACAACCAGCTCTGATACCAGTTTGTTAGGACCGGGTCAGGAAATAGACAAACTCAAGTTAGCACAAAGTAGGCGGTATAACCGACCATATAATAGATAGGCGGTAGATACCAGCCATATAATAATTAGGCGGTAAAACCGACCATATAAAGACGGATAACAAAGCAAATAAAAGACACAGAAGATTTACGTGGTTCGGTCAAATTGACCTACGTCCACGGGCGAGGGAGGAGCAATATTTCTACTATGAAGAAGAAATACAAAAGACCGTAGGAAAGTGGTTCCTAGGCCAATAGGCACTTACAAAAGAGTTTAGAAAATATTCCTAAACTCAAAATAAGAGAGCCTAAAATATTTGACTAAATGGGCTAAATGACTCAAGAAGCTAATAGCCCATATAACTCTCTTAAGTGGTGCACCTTAAACCTTCATACGCTTCCCTATTTATAGGAAAACAACGGAAGGCTTTCCTTGGCTGCCATCGATGTGGGATGGAAATGTTTGCCACACAAGTCAAGCCGCAATGCTTGACAATTCAACAGGACCAAATTGACATACTTGGTAAAAAAAAAGAAGGCAATAATTGTTAAGTGTGCTTGTCTGGCAAAAACAATCACTGTATTGGTTCTACCACTATCGTGATTGTGATCAATATTTTCATCCTAGGTGCATTTGCCTGCTTGACCAATATCCAAATGTCAAATTTGGGGATTCCCTTCAAGTTGAAATTCACCCTCATGATCCTGCGGCAAATGTCTGGATGGTTATAGAGTCTTCAAATGTTTCCCATGTAATTTTCATCTATGTCTGCAATGCATACGTGATATAATACATAAGTCCTAGCTCTGTTATTTTTGCTCATCATGTTGGCGGGGCCATATGATAAAAAGTTTTTCCACAGCTATACTTAATACTTCCAATTCTATTATAAGCATATTCCTGTAATTGCTTACCTTCAAATTTTTTTTTCTCTCATCTCAGTTGAAGACTAGTGAAAACATGTAGTTCTTGGGATCAATGTTGCAAAAATATCAGATCAGGTGTACAAAATTGGAAGGCTGAGAGTCTTAGACAGGAAAATATCAGATGAGATGTACAAAGTTGGTAGTATAGATAACAGAAATGCTATCCCATCATGATCCAACAGATGAGTTGTCAGAGCACATTCAGGAACAATGTTCTTATACAAGCCATGAGCCTACCAATACAGATGAGTTGATCCAAGGTTCTTCTAAGCGTTCGAGACAGCTCACGTCATTGATTTGGAAGGAATTTGAAATATTGTGTGTTGAACCAGATGGTTCACAAAGAGCACAATGTAAATGGTGCAAGCATGATTATGCATGCGGTGGAACAACCGGAACAAGCAACTTATGGCGTCATCTTTCAAATTGTACTAAGCGTGGACAATCTGATTTTGAAGAACGGTCTCCAATTGATCAAGGAATTTATCGGAAAAAGATGGGAATTGCTATTGTGAAGCATAACCATCCTTATAGACTGGTGGAGCAAGAAGGAATTCGAGACTTGTGTGTATACTTAAATTCAGATGCTTTACCCATTTCGAGAAACACGATAAAGGCTGATATTGAAAAGATGTACAAAAAAGAAAAAGAGAGAGTAAAGACAGAATTAAATTCAATTTAAAGTCGAATTTTCTTTGATGGCACGGGATATTTTAAGTATTTCTATCACTACAGTGGCCTTGGAATCAGCTTTCAGTATTGGTGGTAGAATTGTGGGTAAATATCGTACTTCGCTCCTACCAGAAAATGTGGAGGTCTTGTTATGTGCTAGGGACTGGTTATATGGAGTAACAGGTATGTTATACTTAACCTTTCAGTGCATATGATCTTGTATTTTACTTTTTTGGTCACTTATTGAACTTTACTTTTGATTTCAGCTTCTGAAGATGAAGAAGATAAAGAAAGACTGAGTATTGACTTTGCACCTTTAGTTGCTAAACTTACTAACCTTCATGTTTAGGTAAGCTGTATTCTTATGATCATGGAGATTGTTAGAAATGTGGTGAAAAGAATTTTATCTTTCTGTCTAGATGAAATTTAAGTATCAAAAAATAGAACTTTGAATTTGGTTTTGGTTTTGGTTGCCAGGAATCTTCTCTGTTTTGTGTTGAGCCAACAGCAAACTTTTAGGTTGCTATCTTTGTACTGTCAAGTGGATTTTGTACTGTCACTGGCACTCCTTCAAGCTGCTTACTATAGGCATTTGAAATGGTCGGTTTTGAAGTCACGTAAGCTGGTCCTCGATGTTGTCAACTAAACTTGGTTTATTCTTCTCCTTGATGTTTATCAGAGGATTCAAATCAGGGAATAATATTTGTTTCTTGCTACAATATGTGTCTCTCTGCTGTGTTAAGTTTGTTCAACCTGCTTGGTGGTAATTTGTGCTAGCAGAGCAACCTGCAATTATTATGCAAAATTGACACTGAAATTTTTGTAATGTAAGGGTACCTTTTTCTTCATTCACGTTCTTTTTCTTCATTCACCAATGAGCTAGAGGAGTTTTATCATTTATGCTATGCAGTTGTACGAAGCTTGAGAAGCTGAATGCTTGTTATTCGTATTTATTGAAAATTTGTCTCTATTTGTATGCTAAATGAAGTGATTGCTAGTCTTCATCAGGATTTTTAACTATTTTTTATGTTAAGTATTTTTGTTTTATTTATTATATTTATTTGTTGGTTTTATCTTATCGCTTTATTTCCTTGTAATTTATTAATTTGATCATTTTTTAGCATCATCAATTTATGACAAATTTTAGCTTCCTTTCTTACTTTTTCAAATGAAATTTTAAATTTATAAACGAAAAAATACTAGGGGTTCAAAGTTTTGGATTAAATTTTTTTGTTAACTTTCATATTATTTAGTCCAAATTTTTAGATTCTCATTGTTCAATTATTAAATAATATGTAATTTTGCGACATGGCATGCGGATGGAAAAAAAATTGATAATTAGACTTATTTGGCATAATAAGTAAATATTTAAAATTAATGATGGGTGTAAAATGGTATAAATTGATAATTTAGTTTACAAAATGAATTTATATGAGCTTGTAAAAAATTAGAATAAATGGGTTATAAATGGATAATTGGGTTACCCAACTCATTTTTTGACTTATCCATTTATACCCATCTAATTAAATGGATATAAATGGGTTGACTCACTTATACCCATTACCCATTTTATCCAACCCAAACCCGCACAAATCACCCATTTTGCCACCGCTAATCTATTGTAACCAATTGTGCTAATCCAAACAAAATCGATGAAAATCACTTTCTTCTATTCGCCTTTCTTTTCATTTCCATTGGTATCATTTCCTTTCTTTTCCCTTCTTTTACTTCAATCCAAACGGTGCCTAAGTCTAGTTTCTGAATCTCTGAGAATCAAGATCATAGAAGTTTTATATCTCAAGATATGGCAATGTTAGTTAGGACTTAGGATTGCCTAACCTAGAATTTAACAATGGAGTTTTGTGTAACACCATAATTTTTTTTTTAACACCATAATATTTTAGTACATTTTATATCCTTTAGGATAGCAATCTGAAAACATTTCCTTCACAAGAGCTTTGGACCATTTAATGACGTTCCAACATCACCAATTCCACAATTGATTGAATCGTTCCATATCATATCTGAAATGGAAATTTTATAACTAGTCCTAGAAAACTCAGAATCATGTGCCATTTCTTATGCACAAAACTGTAGTCATAGAGCCTTAAATCTAGATAAACATTTTAGTCTAGTTCTAATGTACTGAACCCAACAAACCTTTAGAGTTGGCAAGAAATCAAACCTGGAAAGAAGCGTTGAAGGAGATGTTAGTTTGTTGTCAATTTGGAGTAGATTATAATCTTAGGCATAAGATGTAATATAACTGTTAGAACTGACTCTATAATTCAATATTTTGCCAACACATACTAGCATAAAACCTAAGTGGGAGATCTAAAAATGAAAATAGTGTAGTGAAAAAAGATGTTATTAATAGTTTATTGCCCATCTAGATATATGCCCCTTTTTCTGTTTTATTCCATTTATTTGTTAACCTTAGGTTGTGGCTGGGGAGAGGAGGTGAGTAGAAAACACAACTAATTCCAGCAGCTGGACCTATAAAATGTTAAATGTCTTTACGGATGAATTATGTTCAATTGCCAACTCCAACTTGGTAATTCGGTGTGGAAAGAGTTGCAACAACAGCTCAAGCTTCCACTTTGACCAAGGCACTTAATCCCACATTATGTTTAAAGAACCCAATTAATGAAGTTCTGAAATAAATTTTAAACATCTTAACCAAAATTCTCCAAAATTAATATATATATATATATATATATATATATATATATATATATATATATATATATAATCCTCCAATGTAGATAATTGGGAAATTTAGAGTCTAAATTATTGGGGTTGTTAAATTTGTCACAGTAAATTAACCTGTTTCATTTGTTTCCTTTGAATTTTTATCATGCACGTTACATCTAATGATTTTGTTAGTATTTTCTTCTTTTCATATTTCTAATTTTGATTTACTGCCTCTCCCTTTTACACTTTAGATTTTATTCTGATGGCTTTTCTTTGACTTTTTATGCAATGTAAGTAATTTTATTTGATTTGGTGGTGCACCTGAATGGCCAGAATGAAAAGTCTCATTACCCAAAGAATGATGTCAAAAAATTTTTAATCGTTCCACTTTGTGGTATGCAAATAAGAATAAAATGTATCCATTTTTATTGTTTAGCATGATCAATTTTTAGATGTCAAAACAAAAGTAATTCTACGCAAATTTGATTTAATTAATTTAAAACATAGCTTAGGACTTACAAGATTGTTATCAAGTGATTCTAATTTTGTAAAAGCTGATTTTGTGAAATTGATTTTTAACAGATTTTGTAGAGTAACTCCTGTGTTCTAGTTTCATAATTAATAAAGCTACTTTGATAAATTCTTAAGTGTTTTTGAAAATGTTGAAAAGCTAAGCTGGACAAAAAGATAACCAAATTGCCATTATGTGATACATAAATAGTTTTTGTACTATTGATGTGGTGTTTTAATGTAATTAATTATTTTTCTTATGAAGATTAATTAATGTTGAATAAGAAGCATAAGAAGGGGAAAAAGGATGAATCTAGAAGTGGAATAGCGAGTAACAAGAAACGGAGAGAGATGTGAGGCGAAAATATTTACTTAATCTTTAAGTAGTTTAGTAATTATGTTAAAGTTTAAAGGATTTTTTTGCATATAACAAAAATAGGCCATAATCTGAATCTTGAAGCAATTAAGAATTAAGATATGTTTTTTAACTTTTGGGGCTTAAAATATCTAAAATCAGGTTTCAAAATGAGTTGTCACAAATCCAAAATTTAAATCAGATTTAAAAGATCAGTTGAGAACATGCCCTTCACGTTTCTCATGTTGTTTTATTTATTTGTGCTATGCTGTTTTTGTTAAATTGCAAAGTTATTTCGTTAGATAACATAATCTTGTACGAGAATCCATGTTAAGCTGAATAATGAGTTAATTAATGGATTAGTTCAACTAGTGGTGACATTTTTTTCGGTGTGAAACTTAAGGATAGCCACTCACTTCCCAAATCAATAAATGATTCAAAGTTCTTTATAAAACACAATACACAAGTAATTTTTTTTAAATAATAATACACAAGTAATCTGACCAAATTATAGATGAAAATCAACAATTAGGTTTGATTTTACATGTTGAATGTTTCTAAGGACCACTAACAAATTTGAATTATCGGATAAAATTTTGCAAATACTAAAAACAAATTCTCACTATATTTTAGTAGTTTGGAATCACAATGACAATCAAATAAATAGCAACTTAAAAGATCACTATTCATTCCTTCAACTTGTTAATCTCGAATTTGAATTGAAACTTATATATCACTTGGCAAAAACTCGGCCCCTATGATTTTTCCATTTGACAAATGTCAGATTTACCTAGTTCTAATAAATTGATTAACAAGAATAAAAAATAGAGCATACTACTCATTTGACTTGCAAATAGATAATTATTCTATTTTAGTAGCTAGTTATGACAACTTTGCAATGAGTCTTCTAAAAGAACACTCAGCAAATTAACAAAATTTAAATAAATCTTTACCAAATCACACAATGAACTATTCTTTTGGCTCTTCTATATATGATACCAAATGAATCTTCAATTAACTCTCCTACAATAAATTAGGAAATTCTATGCAAAAATCATAGCATTTTGTAATTCGATGGTAAAACCCTTTTGATTCTTTACCAACCAATAATGTAGGATCATTAACATGGTTAGAGCAAAAGTGTTTGAAGTTTAAATGCAACGTATGATATATAGTCTTTCTGCTAATATGTTAATATAAAGATAGTTTAAAATAAATATTTTATTGATAAAGGACACTTCTATTGATATAAAACGCTTATTGTAAAATTGAGTCATCACACACCAGCCATGAGCTTGGGGGAATCGGTATATGAATATAATTCTGACAACAAAAAGGTAAATTATTTATTACTTCCTGTGGATTCATAGAATGTTGGATGACCCCTAAATTTTTAAAATAGCCACATAATCCCCTGTGATTTATGTAAAGTGGAAAATGGATGAAGTGCACAATCAATTATGATATTTATATCAAATGCATTTTAAAAGCGGATGTGGTAAAATATTAATATTCATTTAACCCCATTATAATTTGTATAAATATCCACTTTATTCTCCTATAATTTTTGCATTTATCCACTTAATCTCCCTATATTTTTATATAAGGTGGTCAAGCTATCTATTAATTTAGCATTTAAGTAAGGACATTATTAGTATTTCAATTAACATTAACTGTTACATAGTTATTTTCCGTCAAGTTTCCATTTTACATAAAATTATAAGGGGTGAAGTGGATATTTTGAAATGTTAGGAGAGTCACGTGACAATAAATTAAACTATAGGAGAGTTACATGTAATTTACGCAAAAAAAAAAAAAAGAAGAAAGAAGTCTTAGAAAGGTACTTTTTGTATAGAGAATGCTTGGTTCATTACTCGTATAATGACTTTTACAAGAAAGTATATATCTACAACAAAAGTAAATAGACACAAGAGACCAAATTAGTGTCATGACTTTGACAAGAAAAAAAAAATATATAGATATATATATATCTACAACTAGAATAAATAGACACAGGAGACCAAATTAGAGTAAATAGACGCCCAACAACCTTTAATGTTGGGTTTAACAAACTGAGAAATGAATTTCACTACTTCTACAAATTCAAAAGCTTAGTCAAATATGTGCACATATTGGGATTTGATCATTAACGTCTTCCCAATGCACAAAATGAATGAGATGCATAGACTAGTTCAGGCATCGGTACTAACATAGATTTCAAATTTCCATCTCTTCATCTTCTTCTTCTTATTGACGATTATAAAAGAGATTCACAGCACATTTTTCTATTCCCTAAATACAGTCCTTTTCCAGCAATAGTCCGATACTAATTCAGCAAAGGTATGCAAATTTCTTTCTGTTCATTGTTTTTCCCTTTCGGTTTATTAGTACTTCTATTGTTAGTTTTACCTTCCGACTATATAGATAAAAGAACTGGTACTGTTTTTTTGAAGAAGAGGATGAAATGGAAAGGGCCTACTCTACTGGTAATTCTGATTTGTAACTTTAATATGAAAACTTGGAGGATTAATTTTTTTTTTGTCCTGTTGCATACTTTTTATCAGTATAAAATTGCAATCTGAAGTCAACTTGTACGTTGCAAAATCACAGTCCATTGGAAGATATTTACTTAAAAGATAATTCTACGGTTGGTATCATTGATTGTAAGAAAAAATATGAATTCATATGTGCATAGACGTCTATACGAATCACGTGGGCCTCCATTTCATTACTTAAAGAAAATGTTTAGAGACCTCCATTCATTGCAGATTAAGTTCTATTTGTTTTTGATATTTTGCAGATCATGGGGATCATTCATGAAGCCAAATTGCAAGAATCGTCTCACGAAGATGATACAAACTGCGGCAAGCCATTGGACAGAAAATTGTCCAACTCTTCTATGAATGTCCCTGTAACTGAAGAAGATGTGAAAGATGCCGAATGCTTCAGCAAATTGGACTCCTCAAACAATGTGGATTCAAGAGGTAAAGTGCAGGAAAAGCCATTTCAGCGAATCTGGATGCGGGATGATGAGATCGATTTACTTCATATTATGATCGATCGCATGGAGCAAAATGCAGCTCAACCTCGTAGTTATGAAGACATTTTTTCTCATATTCGTGAACATCCACTTAGTTTTCAACCTACTAGGATTCAACTGAAGGAGAAGATTAGGCATTTGAGAGAAAAATACAAGAAGAATGCGAAAGAACCTCAAAAGTTTATGAAGTCTTATCATGAAGTAAGACTATTCGAATTATCAAGTCAAGTATGGGGTGTTGAACAGTCAGATTTTCTCCAATCCAGTGGAACAATTAAAGGTAATTGCCATTCCAAGGCAAAGGAGATACTGGAGGATGAAAAGGACACTTTTGCAGTGACAAGCAATTCAGCTTTACATGAACAAGTCGGATAGGATAATGGAGCATTTGGATTAGGTTATTGCAGATCAACTAAAAGTTTCTATGAGGTAATAGTCATTCTACCTTGCTGAGATCATGGTTTTTATGGATTTCTGATGTGTTCAAGTGCAATAATATGAAAATCTGATGGGTAAAAATTGTTTTAATTGAGATCATTCAATAACCATCAAACAGTAGAAGATCCAATAGCAGTGAAAAAATGACGAAGCTGTCATTATGGAGTTACTTAATGTAAACATGGAGACTATCTTAGAGCAACAATATCTTATGAAATGTTCTTCTGTCCTGTAGCAAACGACACATAGTTATGGCTAATCAGGTGTATATATATATATAGTGGTAAGTGTTGTAACAATGCCAGTTATGTTCATGTTTCCTATTCAATCTTACCTGACAATTTTTGTTATCTTGATCATATGTTGATGCTTTTGTCCGAAGAATTTCAGGCATTTTACTATTTTGTTTTTATTGTTTAGCTATGTCCACCTAATCGCCAGAAAAGAATAGTTTTGGCAAATTTTAGCATTACTAATTGCACATTTTTTTCCAGCGCAGGGCCCTAAAAAGATGGATTAGACAGTCGATGCTGCTTTTGTTATTCGTTGCGCAAACTCTTGCTCTTGGGTTTATCTTGGCTAGCCTGCTCGTTGTTGAGTTCTATTGAAGTTCCTCCTTTTTTTTTTTGTTTATTTTTTTTTGTCTTCGAGCCTTGAAGTTGGTTTTGGTGCTTCTGCACTTTTGATTCACCAAATGCCTTACAAGTAGTTCATGTTGCTTCAATTTTGTATTTTGTTAATTTGTTTCTGGCTTTTAGACTATGAATTTAATCAAAATGGAAGTCTAGCGGTTTAAAGGGAAAAAAATTGTAACTTTCTAGTAAAAAATTAGAAAAAAAAATCTGCTTCATTGGGTTAAAATTTTTTCAAATTTATTACCTTTGGCAAATGTTTTCCAACTGTTTTAGTCTCTGTTATTTACTGCATGAAAATGTTGAAACATTTCCCCAGAGGAATTTCAGAAGATTATTAGCTCAAAATTAAGCTAAACTTTGGTTCCACCATAACCATACCCAAGACTTAAGTTACCTATATACTTCCTCAAAAAAAAAAAAAAAAGTTACCTATCTAAAACATTTTCAGCTGCCTTGTGCTAAAATAATAACCTCTACTGGTACAACAATTTCAAGTTCACAAATCGAGAAGACAAGAATGCATGATCGTCTTAGTTTTTTTTTTTTTTTTTTTAAACTTTGCTGGTAAGTTTTCATACTTTACCAAAAGATAATCGTGTATGACCACCTTATATTTTATCAAATAGAGACAAAGCCTTTCTTTGGAAAGTATGAAAAATGAAATAACAAATTACATTTGCAAATGATACGATATTTGCAGACTAAAAATGGTAGCTCAAAATGTATTCCTTAAACTCTTTTCAATCATAGAATATTAGTTTTAAAATTTTAATTTATTTTGAATTATTATTTGGGGTTTGAAATTCTTTGAACAACCACAAATGTCTGAGCATCCTCACGTAGTATAAGTTATATAAAACAATAGGACTAATAACTCCACTTTGCAATCCCAATTTTGGAATCGGCTTGGTAAAAGGGGCAAATTTTATTTTATTTTATTTAAAATAATTGTGAGTAGAGAGGTCTAATCGTAGTTTGTTGAAACGTAGGGTGACAGATGTAGCTACTTCGACAACATTGTACTCCTTCAGTTGAGTAGGAAAAATAGTAATCTTGAGAAGAGGGAAGTAAATATAATTATTATTGGATCACGTGTAGGGATGGCAACGGGGACGGGTGCCCGCGGGGGGATCATTGGGGCGGGGGCCGGGGGGAATTTTTTTCCCCCATTTAGAAACGGGGCGGGGGGCGGGGGGCGGGGGGCGGGGGGCGAGGGAGTATTCCCCTCCCCATCCCCCGCCCCGTCACCCGTTTGAAAAAATATATATATATATGTACATAATTATATATATATAATGATATTATCAATTATACTACTAATTATACATGTCTATTAATAAAAATTATTAATTATTTATACTAAATTTATTAATACATTTATGTTAAATTCCTAACTACACTTAATACATTAACACTTTTTTCTACAAAAAAATACAATAATAATTTAGTGATTGTATTTGTATCAAAAGTGAAAACTTCATTATTTTAGTTATATTTGTTTTATCATATTAGATTGTATTCAAATAACCTTTGTTTAACTATTTTTATGAGTTTCAATTGTGAAATTACAATGAATAATAATTTGGTGATATGTTGATATTTTAGTACATGATTATTTGTTTAAATTTAATTATAATGAAATTATATAATAAAATTTTTTTAACCCCACGGGTGCCCCCGCGGGAGAAGCGAGGCAGGGCGGGGGCGGGGGTTGGGGGAGGTGTCCCCCGCCCCACTCCTGCCCCATTGCCATCCCTGATCATGTGTTAAGGAACTTGATACCCCTTAAGCAAGATTTCGGATTCGAGTTTTACCGATGAAGAAAACAGTGTTGAGAGAGTCATTTCCAAAAGGGGTCCAATAACGTGAGTTTTAAACAAAAAGGGGGGGAGTAAATTAGATACTTTGCAGTTTTTAACATATAAAGAAAAAAATAAATAATGAGTGATAGTTTACACAGTATAGTATTTCACACAAATAACAAAAAATTGAACACAAACATGCCAAGAAAAAAATAAAAATCATAAATAAAAAATCAAGGATGACCTAATTAATGGCTCATTTGGAATGCAAGTTTTTGGAGTTTTTGTATAAAATATATTGTAGCAATGTAATATATGTGAAATAAAAAAATAATTGAAAAATGTGTCAAAGAGATTTTTCTTCGCAAATTTGCAATCTGACGGGATTTTTTTTATCAATGCAAGTTTAATTCCGAATTTACACCCGTTGGACTGCAAGTATACAGGTCGCAATTGTAGTACGAGATGTGTATCGGGTCGATCCCACGAGGAGCAATTTAAAACAATTATTAGATACTAATTTACTCTATTATTTAGACTCACAATTAATTTGAGCAGAAACTTCAGATTTTAATTCAACTACAAAAATTCTTAAATAGATAAATGCAATTTCACAATAGGAGTAGAATTCACTAAATATTAAGATCTAGGGATGTAGATTCCACTTATAACACAAAAGATCTAAAATGAATTAATTCAACACTTGTTACTGCTCTTGTTTAACCAAGGATTCATTTCCAGAAATACCAAAATCACATTCTCATGATAATAATGGGTTAAAACAGATTAGTTTTTCCTAATCTCTTGGTAAATACTAAATCTGTTCTTATTCACACATGAAATGCAGATTTCATCCACTTGAATGTATTTCTATTCTCATGAATATACTACTCAAGCTCTACTTATGTCATTCCATTATTTTTACCATTTCTCAATGAGTAAAAACAACTATAAACCTGCTATTGGTGATCAAGCAACAAGTAATCCAACATACACAAGTAGATAAGTTAATACAAGACATAACAAGCATAAATCACAATCACTTCATATCATTTGGCCATAAGCTTCATCTACTCCCTAGATAAAGGAAATTAGCTACTCATGAATGATGAAACACTCATAACTTCATTAATGCAAATCATCATAAATTTACAAATACAAAAAGAGTAAAGAAAGTCTTAGCCAAGATATGGTGAAGCCTTCCAAAAATCTCCTTGTCTTGAACTTAGATGATTACAAGATGAAACCTCAATTGTCCCTTGCAAGTACCTAGCTAGAGAGAATATGTTTTTTTGTAAGAAGCTAAGCTACGAATTGTTCCAGATCTCTCCCCATATCTCTGCATAAAAATACACTCCAATGCTCCATTTTTCCAAGTCAAATTCTATCCTTTGATTCCCAAATCTCCACTTTGTTAGCATAGTCAAAAACCAATATTTTTGACTTGAAAATAAGCCACTTTTCTTGCCCTTTTGTCTTCTGAAGCATGTGCACCGAATTCCCTTGCATCTTATAGCTGGAAAGTGGTATGAACACAAGAGAATTGGCTGAGTCAAATTGCAGAATTTCGGCTATAAAACGCGCCTACACAAAACGCGGTTACAAGTCACGTTTTGTGTACTCGCGTATTCACTTTGGCCTTACTTCATCTGCGATTTTCTCTATCATAAAGGCCGAACTAGCTTTTGTGCAAAACACAAAAGTTGTAGCCCTTTGAGTTAGCTTTCCAATGCTTCAAGAATCATCCAAATCGGAGCTTTGTAGCCTGAGATATGATCGAAATACTGTCACCTGTTCAAACCTCTGTTTTAACTTCCGACCACAGGGTGCAGCTTCTGTATTCCAACGTTTTGCCCATGAAGATGGCAGAAATGGATTTCGATGTCTTCATACGAATTGTAGGTCTCTTTCTTAGCTTTAAAATGGTATAAAAATCACCTCAATCCGATAAGTGTAGCTCCAGATATGGTCAAAATACTGAAAAGTGTCAAAACTGACTTGTATTGCATTTCCTCACTTGAACGTTTTTCACTTCATTCTTCTTGTTGCCACTTAAATTCATCACCAAATCTCTATTTTTCACCTCAATTGACCTCCTTTGGTGATTGATTCATTATTCCTGCATAAAAATGAAGTTTTTACTATTAAAATCAATAGAAATGCAATATTATCCACTTTTACCAAAAATATATAATTTTATCAAAAACCTCTTTATTTTAATTATAAAACTAAATAATCAACTCAAAATTAACTAATAAAATGCACTAAAAAATACGTAAAATAAACTCTTATCAAATACCCCCACACTTGAATCATTGCTTGTCCTCAAGCAATATAAAATTCCAACCATCAATGATCCAAAAATTTAAAATAAACATATGTAGTATTTCAACTCCATTTCCTTGAATCAAGGTAAATAACCCTTATGTGATCTTTCCATTAAGTTCAAGTACTCATAATATCAAGCAAAGAAGAGCCAAGTATACCATAATTTTACCAA